CTGTGGCCTTGGCAGTGCCATGTTGGACTTCATGATCTTGGAGGATTTTTCCAATTTTCATGATTCTGTGAAATTATGAGGGACAGGAATCTCCTGAAAACCAATTTGGGGTTTTTGAAGAAGGGCTTGGTTGGTTTTGTTTTACCTTTTAGTTTGTTTGGAGTTTTTATTGTGTTCCTTTATTTATGGCACTTCCCAGCCCTAAATCTTCATGTCAGTCCCAAAATCCCTCCTCTAAGGATTGTCACAAGTAATGGAGTCTAGATTTTTATTGCTGAAGGGCTAGAGAAGAAACATTTCCTGGTGTGGAGCTCAGTTGAGTTGTTGTCATCCCTGACAGCATTTTGGGAACGCTCTGTGAAGCTGCTTCCCTGTTTTTTACTCCTTCAGGGGGAATAAAATGAGTGCAGATGGGAAGAAGGAAAAGCAGAAACAACACCTGAAATTGTTGTTTTAAGAGGGAAAAAAAAGTCTCAATTTGAGCTGCCTGGGTTTCACTATGGCTTTGTCACTTTGAACCACGATTCTGCTCCGAGGAGTGAATTTGAAATGGAAAAAAATCAGTGTTAGGCATTTTCCCCTCTCTGTTTAGACTGCAGTGTTCAAATTTAATGACAAAAACACATTTCGATGCCTTTTTACTCTTGAGGGAAACAAATCCCTCTGGGAACCGGGAACAGCAGGCTCCTGGTTTCCCAGTCCTGCTAGGGTGGGAGTGAGCAGCTCCAAAGATCTCCATCCTCCAAAGATCCCATTCCCCAAGGGGGTGAAGGCATCACCTCTTGGTTGGGGTAACAGCATGGGGTAAACTGAGACCTCAGAGGTTGTCCAGGGAGGCAAATTCCTGGGAAAACTTGGAATGCTCAATGATTTTTAGGGAAAAATTGGGATTTGCCCCTTTGGACACTGAGGGTGGTGCATTGGTGGCAGTTGAGTGGTGGAAATCCTGAAGGTGGGAATGTTTTAATGGAGCTGATCCTGGTGCTGAGGAGGAGATTTCCAGTCCCTGGGTCCATCCTGAAACTTCCAGCATTCCCAGAAATATCCTTTGGAAGTGCTGACTCTGATTTGATGGAACAGAATGGGATGAAGAAGTTTTACATGAACATTTGGGGCTGAGCAAACAGGAAGTGATTCCTGATCCATTTTGTTACTTCCTTAACTTTGCCTTTTATATTGGAAATTGATCCATGATCAATTTCTGCTCCCCTCTGGATGTTTTAAACCTGTTGATGGTTATTCCCTTATTTTTCCTGGGATACTGTGCCATTGCTGAGCTTATCCCTTACTGTCCTGAAGAAATTTTTGTTATTTTAATGAGTTCTGGAGGTTTCTTTCAGACCTTTCCACGGTATTCTACGTCTTCATCATCTACCTCTCAGAGAGGGCCCTTTCCTTGGATTTTAATCCAAAGGAATTGTAGAAGCTTTAGAGGGAGGGAATGGGAAATTCCTACTCTGATTATTTTCTGGTTTATGGAACAAAAATGAATTTTTTAGCTCACTGGGGATTCAGAGCAGTGCTGGGACATGGAGCAGCAGTGCTCGCCATGGAGCACTGGGGAACACTGGAGAGCACTGGGATCACCTCCCCATTCCCAGCTCTTTCCATGGAATTCTGGAATGGGTTGGAAGGGGTGTTAAAAACCATCTTATTCCAAACCACCCCTGCCATGGCAGGGACACCTCCCACTGTCCCAGGGTGCCCCAGTGTCCAACCTGGCCTTGGGCACTGCCAGGGATCCAGGGGCAGCCACAGCTGCTCTGGCAATTCCAGCCCAGCCAGCAATTCCCAATTCCCAATCTCCCACCCATCCCTGCCCTCTGGCACTGGGAGCCATTCCCTGGCTCCTGTCCCTCCATCCCTTGTCCCCAGTCCCTCTGCAGCTCTCCTGGAGCCCCTTCAGGCCCTGCCAGGGGCACTCAGGTCCCCCTGAATCCTTCCCTTCTCCAGGGGAACACTCCCAGTTATCCTGTTTCCATAGCAGAGGTGCATTTTTGAACCATTTTGGCTCCTGGGTGGCAACTCCTGCCCGGAATTCCTGGAATTGCCTCATCCTTGGATCCAAATCCCTTCTTTCCAGCTCTCCCAGTGCCCATCCTCCCTGGTTTTCAGCTCTATCTTGTGGAACAGCTCCTAAATCCTGTGGGTTTAATTAAACCCCAGCTTTTATTTTTTTTCCCAAACATGTGAGGATTTGATCAGTTCCTGAACCTGGATGGCACCAACAGCAGCAACTTCTGTCCCTGGGAAAAAAAAATAAAAATAGGATTTAGACAGGTCCACAAGGGAAATAAGAGTCTGGATTTGGATTTTTTTGAGTTCTCATCCCCAGGCTTGAGATTTTGTGCTGGTTTAGAAGCTCAAAATGACAAAATGTGTTGTATTTATTTGCCTTGCAAGAATTCCAGGGGATTCCCAAGCATTGAAGTTATTAGGATGTGTTTGTGATTCCAGGGGTGTGACATGGAATTGTAGCATTGGAAAGCCTCCATAAAAAGGAATAATTAGGAATTCCAGTGGAGATTTGTCTGCTTCTTTCTGCCCTTAATTATTTATTATTTATTAATCTTTATTGTGAAGGTGAATTAAAAAAAAATTATTAAATTTGCTGAATAAAAAAGCAGGGAGAAATAAACAAAAATATCCAAAATTTGGAGCTGTTCAGATAGTTTCCTCAAATTCCTGGGATAATTTAGGTAGGTGCCAGTCCAGAATTTCCCACCAGGAAGGTTCCAAAAATCCTGTGAAAAACTCAGTGAAGTTTCTGACCTCAGCTCCCAGTTAATGCTGAAAAAGGCATTTTGCAGCTGTGCAGGATGGAAAATCCATCATTCTTCAGTGGGATATTGATAGAAAAAATGTTTATGGATTATTCAGGATTAAAGTGCTAATTTTTTGGAAGCAGGGAAACTTCTGAAAGTCATAAGGAAAAACATTGGAATCAAAGTAATCCAAAGTAATCAAAGATTAATTGCTGCAATTAATCATTGGCCAGGTTATTCCAAGGTTTTTTGGGAAAGAATTTGTGGGTATTTCCCTAAATCCTGCTTTTCCATTTAAAAAAGACTGATCAAACTGAGCAGGATAAAGGAATTTTATCACTTTATTATTTTTAACAATTTTTTACCTGAAGTTTTACTGACCTACCTAAGAATTAAATATTTTTTTCCTCAGGATCCACTCACTAAAACCCTTTTAAATTATTTAGCAAATCCTTAAAATCCCTTTATTTTTTCCAGTAATATTTGGACTTTCAGCCTTGAAATGTAAGGAAACTTTCCTCTGCAATTCCAAAGCCAAATCCCAAATTTTTGGGATTCACACCTCTTGGATACCTGCCTGATTTTCCAGAGTTTGGATGCCAATGTGTAAAATCTGAATTCAAGTGTGAAAGAATGGAGTTTTAAATTTGATTTTATTTAATTGATTTTATTTATTTTTGGAGGCATCCCCAGATTCCAGTTTCAGAATTACTCTGGAATCTTTGGGAATAAAGTGAAAAAAACCCTGAAACTTTTCCATAGGAGTTGTAGCTTTGTGGGTTTGCAGCTGATTTTTTTCATTATTTTCCAAAGTTTTCCTCTGCTGGAAAGTAAAAGGAAATCTCCTTTTCGCAATGTGTTACAACAACCGAGCTGGAAAAGAGCAATTTCCTTGGGATCCTTGGCACGGAATGTGGATGCTCATGTCCTGTCTGTTCACAGCTTCTGTCACTGCTGGCTTTTCCTTGGATCAGGAAAAATTGTGTTTCCCTGGGAAAAAGGAAGTGTTGGGATGTGCAATCCCAAGGGCACGAGTTGGCCCATAAAGGCAATTTATCCTCTGGAAGTGGGAGAACATTCCCTTGGATCAGGGAATCACAGAATCCTGGAATGGTTTGGGTTGGAAGGGACCTTAAATCTCATCCCGTTGCAGCCCCTATCCCATTCCACCTCCCACTGTCCCAGGCTGCTCCAAGCCCCAATGTCCAGCCTGGCCTTGGACACTTCCAGGGATGCAGGGGCAGCCACAGCTGCTCTGGAACCTCCCAGCCAGGAATTCCTAATTCCCAATATCCAACCTGAATCTCCCCTTTTCCAGCCTAAATCCATTCCCTGTGACCTGTCCCTCCATCCCTTGTCCCCAGTTCCTCTCCAACTCTCCTGGAGAACTGGGGTTTGAGCACCCTGGCATGGTGGAAGGTGTTCCCGGGTCAGAATTGGATGGGATTTAAGGTCCCTTCCCACCCAAACCATTCTGTGATTCTGTGATTACAAAAATAAGAAAACCATCAGAAAAAAAGGAAAAAAGGAAATATGAATTAATTTCTCCTCCCAGACCCAGCACAGGCAGCCCCAAATCCCATGGATCAGAAATCCCTGGGAATGTTCAAGGCTTGGGGAAACCTGGGATAGTGGGAGGTGTCCCTGCCATGGCAGGGCCTAGAACAGGATCTTTAAACTCCTCCAACCCAAACTGTTTCATGATCCCATGAAATGCAGCTCCTCAGGGACTCTTGGATGAAGCGCTTGTTCCATGAACTGTTGAGTTTCTTGGGAATTTCCTTGAATCATCCAAGGTGAAATCCTGGTACCATTCACACAAATCTTGTGGTTTGGTGCTGAATTTTAGACTCTGCCCATTTTCCAGACCTAAAGTAATCCTGGATTTCAGTGCTGAGTTTTACACTCTGCCCATTTTCCAGACCTAAAGGTAATCCTGGGTTTTGGTGCTGAGTTTATGACTGCGCCCACTTTCCAGACATAAAGGTAATCCTGGGTTTTGGTGCTGAGGTTTAGACTCTGCCCACTTTCCAGACCTAAAGTTATTCCAGGTTTTGGAGCCAAGTTTTAGACTGTGCCCATTTTCAAGACCTAAAGTTATCCTGGATTTCAATGCTGAGGTTTAGACCGTGCCCATTTTCCAGACCTGAAGTAATTCTGGATTTTGGTGCTGACTTTAAGACTGTGCCCATTTTCCAGGCCTAAAGGTAATCCTGATTTTTGGTGCTTGCTCAGATCAGGTGGACCAAAACAGCAGGAAGTGCCTCTGACAGATTCCAAGATTCCAGTGTCTTCAACGAAACCCTGAGGATTTCCAACATCCAGAGACACCAGGGAGGCCGCTACTACTGCAAGGCTGAGAACGGCCTGGGCTCCCCGGCCATCAAATCCATCCGAGTGGACGTGTACTGTGAGTAAATCCTTGGAATTCTGCCTTTGCTCCTTTAGGAATGCCTTAAAATATCTGCTGTTCCCAAGAAACATTCAGCTCCTCGGGAATCCCAATTTTAATGGTGGATGCCGCGGGTTCGCGGAGTTTTTATGGTTGGAAGAATGTGGAGGGTTGGGATTGCCGGGAAAAATGTGAGAGTTTGAGATTGTGGTGAGGGATGTGAAGGACTGGGATTGCAAGGGAGATGTGAAGGATTGGGATGGCAGGAAAAAATGTGAAGGATTGGGATTGTGGTGAAAAATGTGATGGATTTGGACTGCAAGGGAAATGTGAAGGATTGGATTGGAGTGAAAAAAGTGAAGGATTGGAATTGTGGTGAAGGATGAGAAGGATTGGGATTGGAGTGAAAAATGTGAAAGGTTGGGATTGTGATGAAAAATGTGATGGATTTGGATTGCAAGGAAAATGTGAAAGACTGGGATTGGAGTGAAAAATGTGAGGGTTTGGGACTGGAGTGAAAAATACAGATTGGGATTGTGGTGAAGAATGTTAAAGATTGGGATTGGAGTGAAAATATAGATTGGGATTACAATGAAAAATGTGGGGGGTTGGGATTGCAGGGAAATGTGAAGGATTTGGATTGTGGTGAAAAATATGAGGCATTAGGATTATAGTGAAAAATGTGAAGGATTGGGATTGGAGTGAAAAATGTGATGGATTTGGATTGCAAAGGAAATGTGAAGGGCTGGGATTAGAATGAAAAATGTGAAGGATTGGGACTGGAGGGGAAAAATGTGAAGGATTGAGATTATGGTGAAGAATGTGAAGGATTGGGATTGTAGGGAAAAATGTGAAAGACTTGGATTGTGGTGAAGAATGTGAAGGGCTGGGGTTACAGTGAAAATGTAAAGGATGTGGGTTCCAGAGAAAAGTCTGAAGGATATGGATTGCAAGGAAAAAATGTGAAGGGTTTGGATTGTGGTGAAAAATAAGAAATATTTGAATTTCAGTGAAAATGTGAAGGATTTGGTTGCAGGAAAAAATTGGAAAGATTGGGATTGTGGTGAGGAATACAAAGGATTTGGATTGCTTTAGGCTCTGGAAGGGGCTCTGGGGTCTCCTCAGAACCTTCTCTTCTCCAGGTGAACATTCCGAGCCCTGCCAGCAGAGCTGCTCCAGCCCTTGGATCATCCTGGAGCCTCCTCTGGACTCCAGACTGTCAAATTTGCTTTGGGTTCACTCCCAGAACTCCGAAATGGTTTGCGTGGAAGGGACCTTAAATCCCACCCATTCCAGACCCTTCCATGGGCAGGGACACCTCCCACTGTCCCAGGGTGCCCCAATGTCCAGCCTGGCCTTGGGCACTGCCAGGGGTCCAGGGGCAGCCACAGCTGCTCTGGCAATTCCAGCCCAGCCAGCAATTCCCAATTCCCAATCTCCCACCCATCCCTGCCCTCTGGCACTGGGAGCCATTCCCTGGCTCCTGTCCCTCCATGCCTTGTCCCCAGTCCCTCTCCAGCTCTCCTGGAGCCCCTTCAGGCCCTGCCAGGGGCTCTGAGCTCTCCCTGGAGCCTTCTCCATGTGAATAATCCCAATTCTCCCAAGCTTTCATCATAGGATAAGTGCTGAAACCCTTGGATCATCTCCACCACCTGCTCTGCACTCCCTTGTTTATTATAAATGAAGAAATTATCAACTATTTATTTCTCTATTCATTTATTTCCCTTTTAGACCATTTAAAATCCAGAATAGGGCATGGAGAGAGCAGTGGGGTCTCACCAGGAGCCCCTCCTCGTTATTTACACTCAATTAATTCCGAATTTCTCTTTTAACAGGGATTTATTTAAACCTCTTATGGAGCCTCTGGAAAAAATTTCTCTAAGTAGAGATGGATGTGCTCTAAAACCAGACTTTCCTAACCCAGTTTGTTGTTCATTAATTCCACAAAATTAAGTTTCTGTCATTTAAGAAGTGGAGGAACGAGCATTAATTAGGTTTGGGATTATGAAACCAATAATTACTGACTTAAGATGTTAATACTCCCAATTTGTAACAATTATTCCACGTCGAGCACGTCAGGTGGCCTTTGGCATCAACGCCTGTTTTTCCTGGCTTGGGAAATCCATTTTTCCTGCTTTGTTTATGGAAAAATGATGCAGGTACAGAGGGAATTAATAACCCAAAATTACTGTTAGAAAACCTCAGTCCCTGCAGTGTCAGAGTGGGATTCAATCTTGTTTATTCCACATTTTTCTGGTGGGTGCTCCTGGTCCAGATGAATTTTCCAGCACGGTGGGGATCCAAAGTGAACTCTGGAACAGCCTGAGGGAAGTGGGATTAAAAATGCTTTCAATGACTCCATGTCTTGATTCGAGTGTGCTTGATTTAATGATAATCATCTGGAATTTTTTAATCAGCTCTGATTGCATTTTTCCACAGAATTTCATCTTGGAATTGACCACACCACAGGTTTAGTTTGACCTCTTTTGTCTCACAGCTCTGACTGCTTCTTAGAGTTGATTTTTCCTTTGCTGCTCTATTAAAAATCAATTTAATGACTTTTTTTTTTCCCTCAAAACCATCTGATCATGGAGCTTTGAGGAATCCTCTCTCTGCCCAAGTTTTTCTGTTCAGCTGCTTCATTTTCTAAAAAAAAAAATCAGTCTGGTTCTTCCCCAAACTGAACTGGGTTTCCTTCCATTTTCAGCTATTTTTATTTCTTATATTTATATTCCCTGGAGCCCAAAGAGCTTTTCTGTACTGATTTCCCTCATGTGGTGCTTACAGCCAATAATAATCTATATATTATACATATCACTTCTTTATAATTAATTTTATTTTCATTTACAATTTACTTTTAAATAAAATTATTTAATTTTAAATAAATTTAAACTTATTTTTTACTTTTAAAATTTTGCTTTAATTTTTTTTAACTTTGCAATTTTATTCAAAATTATAATTATTAAGTGTTCTCTTTGGAGAAATTCAATGTTTTGTGCTTGCAACATCTTCTCAAGCAAACTCAGATCCTGAGCTAATTTTCCAGTGTGGAAGAGTTTCCTGTTGGACTTTCCTTTGCCCTTTAATTTTTTTTTTTTACTTGCCCTTTAATTAATACATTTTTGTTGCCCTTTAATTATTTAATGTTGCTTAAAAACACAAGACCAGGTTAAGATCCTGTACTCGAATCACTGATTCTGAGTGTGGGAGTAAATGAAATCCTTCCTGCACAGTAATCCCAGAAATTCCCATTATTCCAGACTTTTCCAATGTTTCAGGCCATGCCTGGGGCAGTTTCAGGCCATTCCCCAGTGCTGAGAATTCATGGATGTGCCTCGTTCTGTGTGAGTTTCTGACTCCTGGTGATTGGGAGAATCCATTGACTGGGGAAACCCAATGATCCTTTTCCATCTGTGCATATGCCCAAAGAATCATGGAATGGTTTGGGTTGGAATGAGACTTAAACCCCACCCAGAGCCACCCCTGCCATGGCAGGGACACCTCCCACTGTCCCAGGGCGCCCCAATGTCCAGCCTGGCCTTGGGCACTGCCAGGGATCCAGGGCAGCCACAGCTGCTCTGGCAATTCCAGCCCAGCCAGCAATTCCCAATCTCCCATCCATCCCTGCCCTCTGGCACTGGCAGCCATTCCCTGGCTCCTGTCCCTCCATGCCTTGTCCCCAGTCCCTCTGCAGCTCTCCTGGAGCCCCTTCAGGCCCTGCCAGGGGCTCTGAGCTCTCCCTGGAGCCTTCTCCTCTCCAGGGAACATTCCCAGCTCTCCCAGCCTGGCTCCAGAGCAGCTCCAGCCCTTGGAGCAGCTCCATGGGTTCCTCTGGATCTCTCCAGCAACCCCACATCCTCCTGCTGTTGGATCCAGGGTTGGAGCAGCTCTGCAGGTGGGGTCTCACCTGAGAGGGGCAGAGGGGCAGAATCCCATGGTGAGGGATCAGCCCAGGGCACAATTCCAGGTCATGTCGAGCCTCTGATCCCCCAACATTCCCAATCCTTCTCCTCAGGGCTCCTCCCATCCCTATGGAGGTCGAGCATTTTCCTGGATGTTGTTCTTTGTTCTGCCTGCTCCCTGGTGATTCCAGTGCTAATACAGCCTCAGAAACGATGGGAATTGGCTCTGATTGGTGTCCTTGGAGCAGGGAAACCCTCCTGGAGTGCTGCTTCCCACCATGCCCTCCCCCTGGTGTCACCAGGCCATGCTCATATTTCCAACCAGGTGTATTTATAACCTCATTAAAAGAGGGGAGAAAACATTTTCTCCATAAAACCCCATCCCCGAGAGCTCATTATATTTTTCCTTTTGGAATTTTGTTGTAGCCTGAACCCTCGAGAAAGCATCAGAGGCTGGAGCTGTGTGGGGATTGTTGACACTGAAGTCATTTGCTTTGTCCTTTTGTGTTGGAGTGTGTTAACAGGCTCCTGGCAGGGCTCTGATCCTCCCGAAATTCCATTGGAAATCGATGGCAGCTCCTCAGGGGGCTCCCAGGGTCACGCTCTCCATCGTGGGAACAGGGAGGGAACGCTTGCTTCCTTCCAGCAGCTGGAAATGCTGCTTGTTCTCAGTGCCGGGGCTGTTCTGCACATGCAGCACTGCAGATGCAGAATAAATCTCTTTGAAAGGCTTGGAGAGGGGAAAATAGCTCACAGAGAGCTGGGAATAACTTGATTCCCGTCCTTCCAGCTTGGTTAGAGCTGTTGTGTGTCCACACTGGACACGTGAAGGGTTGGAGAGCGGGAGAGCTCGTTTTCCTTTCTGTAGGATGCAAGAAATAGAGAAATTAATTGGATTTTTGAGGTTTATATCCCACACAAAGCATTTCAAAGCTGCCTTGATGGAGAAACTGTGACTACTTCATCCCTGGAAGTGTTCCAGGCCAGGTTGGATCGAATTTGGAGCATCCTGGCATAGCAGAAGGGGTCCCTGCCCATGCCAAGGGTGGCACTGGATGGGCTTTAAGTTCCTTCCTTCTAACCCAAACCCTTCTAGAATTCTGTGAATTATTGAGA